TGACTTTTTTTTATTTATTGAAAACGGGTTCTTTTTGTTTGTTTGTTTGTTGTATCCAGATTGATTTGTGAGTACTCGAGAAAATATTTCATGGAAGTCTGTGGATATTTACATATTTCATTCATGTTACTAAAAACAGAAATGAAAAAGGAAGAATGGAAAACATCTAAGCAATTGTCAGTTTCTCTTCCGCATTCTGAGGTTTTACAGTATTATTTCAATTCCAAATAAACTCAGACTTACACAGAATCCTGCCGTTGTCAAAATAAAAAGGTCTGGGTTACGTTTAAAAAATTGGATGAAGCTTATATCAAATGGAAAATTTCCTCAAATTTAGTTTCCTAAAATCTCCAGTAAAGGCTGGCGCAAGAGATTACTAAATAGTGTAACTATCATAATAAAATAATATCAGCTAATAAATTATAGTTTAAGACCCTGATCTTGACTTTGGGATTTTGATGAAATCAAATAAAGTTTGAAGAGTATGTTGGCTCGACAAATAAAAAGTATATCACCCTGTGCGAGTGTACTGTATGACTGTGGATAAAGATTGACATACATATCCAACTTAATATTAAGAGCTGGGTGATAATATAGTTATGCAACAAAATAAAAAAATAAGCAGTTGAGATTTGTTATATAGTAATTTTATATAGAGAGCTGTGCGATAATACAGTTTACATTTATATATGTATCATTTGACTAAGCAATCAACATCCAGAACAGCCTAACAACAATCTAGTAGCCTCACAACGACATAGCAACACCTTGGCAACGGTGGCAGTGCGTTTTGCACAGGCAAACTCTAGTTTCCAGTCTTCTGTTCCACTGACTCAAAGAGTAAAAATGGTTTCATACTCTGGCTAGTAATATTATGACATGAGCTGTCTGAAATGTAAGACATCTTTTCCTGTGACGTCTCCGTCTCTGTGGAATCGAAATCGAGTGTGAGACTGGAGCAGAGGTGAGGAGGTCAGGAGGCCTGCTTATTCCCTATGGATTTACATTCTTTTAATAGTATGTAGCAGAAAGAGAGAGACTGAATGATAGATGGGGGTCTTCAGGAAGAAGTGGGCGGAGGAATGAGACATTATGAAATGAGAGAGAGACTTTGCCTCGTCACATGAACATCGGTCTGGTTTTATTTCAGTATTTTGACTGAATTAAGCGTCATCAAAGATAGAATCAGTCTGTGAATAATCTGAGAACTTAAGATATAGAAACCACAACAACTTCACCATAGAAACCAGTAATGTTTCCAGTAGGAGTCAGTCTGTTTGGGTTAGGGCATGTTGTCACATGGGGAAGAAGTCACAAGGGCTTTATGCCAGTAATATGAGTTGTATGTACCAATATTTTGACTGAAAAACCAAGTTGCACAAATATTTAAATATAGTACCAGTCAAAAGTTTGGAATAATTAAGGTTTTTTGTTATTTTATGGAAAATAGTCTCTTTTGCTCACCATTTATTTGATCAAACATACTGTAAAAACAGTATATTATTACCATTTAAATGAACTATTTTATTCCTGTGATCAAAGCTGAATTTTCAGCATCATTACTCCAGTCTTCAGTGTCACATAATCCTTCAGAAATCACTCTAATATGAGGATTTGCTGCTCAGTTATTATCAGTCATTAATGAATATTGCACAATATTAATGTTTTTACTGTATTTTTGAATTAAAATCTGAATTGTTCCAAACTTTTTGTCTGGTAGTTTATATCTTATGTTTAATTGATTGATTACAATTTCTGTTGGCCAGAACAATGGTTTGGTGTTTTTTGCATTGTTAACATTCACAATTTTTGCTGTTTCATGAATTGTTTTGTGCTTTACAATTATTTTATTGCTTGTATATTTTTATATTAAATGCTGTTCAATGGCTCATTCCCACTGGACTGGACATGTGACAAAAGTTCAGAGTGAGTTCAATGAACTGCATCATTTTCTCCTGGGCAATAACGGTGAAAATAGCATGTTTGCCTTAGTAAAAAATTGAAATACATTTATTTTATGCCAAGTATACTACAAATACATTTACATATTGTGTACTTAATGCACTGTAAATACCCTGCAATTGTACTTTTAGTATACAGTACTAAAATATTGATATACTTGAAGTCTGCTAAATTGAAAACAACTAATTTTGTACTTAATGCACTTTAGTTTTCCAGAAATAGTGCTGATGTCCAACTAAAGATAAACTTAAGTATATTTGATTGTGTAAAAGTATAATTTAGGAATACCTTACATATCTTGCATTTAAAGACTGATCTTATACAGTGATCATACTATCCTTGCTAATAGTTATAATATTAATATTAAGAAATGTGCATTGTGCAATAAAGAAGTACTCCAAATAAAGTTTAATTATATTTATATCAGTAAGTCTCAAGCAATATGTCAGTAAATATGGTAATGTTTTTTTTTTGGTATACTTAGTAAATGTAGTTTACATTTTGGTATAGGTTTTTTCACTAGGGTTTAGTAAAGGCTTTAAGGTTTGTTTCTATGCAGAAATAAATCCACCCGAGACAATTAGCCCTGGCGTCCCCTATATAGTGAGGAAAAGCATGTCAATGTTCAGACAGGGAATATTGTATGTTTTGTCTTCCTGATCACACACTTAGACACAGTGTTCACCTGACATGACCATGCATGCCTGACACAGATTTCTTCACCATGATAGTGTGATTCATGTCGCGGTCTGCGAGATGTTTCTGAGTCAGGATGTGGGCGTGAAGGAGAACCGACAATCTCAATCTCATCTCCAGAACGACACCATCCACAAGTCTGTGGAAAAGCCTAAAACAATACTTTTTACAGTTTACTTTTGAGTTTTGTCGTTTTCAGGGAGATTCTTATTAGATTCAGTACAGCCATTTTGACTATAAAATATATTCTGTAATAATTGAATATGCATAAGCTACCATAAGACTACCATGGTGTATAAATATATATTTTTTACAAAATATATATTTGTTGAATTATGTGATTATGAATAAATTATTAATAAAATAATTAAATTAAATGATAATATATACATTTATATTATAATAAAAAAAAACATTTTCTTTCACATTAAAGTAATGAGAATGCAGGTTTTTACCATTAGTAGGGAGAATTTGGTGGGAATATGTGCTAAAATGTCAAACAAATTTTTTTTTATAGTTAATGTTCTACATTTACTATCACATTTTTAAATCAAAATCTGTTTATATTAGTTATTGCGCTATGCACTGACATGAACAACTGTAGTTTTATTAACTAACATTAACAAAGGTTAATAACTGCTGTAAACATATATTGCTCATGGTTAGTTCATGTTAACTAATGCATGAAGTAACATTAACAAATGAGACATTATTATAAAGTGTTACCTAATAGCTTCTGTCTTCTATTTCTTTTGATTGTGGGGTGAAATTTGACTTTAAATTTGTCCTTATGTCATGAGATTCACTTGAATGTGTGTGTGTGTTTGTGTGTGTGTGTGTTCGGCTCTTACAGTAAAGGTATCTGCTGAACAGTGAACAAGTCTTGTCCTCTTAAAGCATGACCATATAAGGACATGTTTCCTCTTCCCCTCCTCCTGGAAAACACAACAATGGGGGTCAATAGAAATTAATATCAGCCATCTTGTGCGCTCTCTCTCTCTCTCTCTCTCTCTCTCTCTCTCTCTCTCTCTCTCTCTCTCTCTCTCTCTCTCTCTCTCTCTCTCTGTGTCATGGATTATGCTCTGCTGGACATATACAATTATGTGGAGGAGAGGAATGTGTAACGGAGCAAATAATGAGCTGAGACTTTTGTACATTGCAGCTTTTGTGATAAAAAGGGCTTTTTAAAGGAACAGTTCAACCAAAAAGAAACTTCTTTTAGTCAGTATGTACTCTCATGTGTTTCAAAACACATATTACGTTATTGTAATATGTACAATAAACACATTGAATTAAAGTTTTTTTGTTTGTTTTTTGCTAGGACACATTTCTCAATACTAAGGTCAGTTTTTCAAAACTCTCCAAACCAACACTCAACTAAAGTTACTTTCACATTTAAAACACACCAAAACACTTACATGTCTCAAATTAAGCCATTCTTCCACAGCACTAGCAAAGGTTTTCACCCAACAAACACACATAAAAACTAACAACATGTAGCATTTAGGGATGCATCGATATAAGCATTTTGGCCAATACCGATAACCAATAATTCTTTATATTTGAAAGCCGATAACTAATATATTGGCCGAAAAATTGATCATTTTTGATTGCCTGATTACAAAAATAAAACTCTCACCATTAAAAGCCATGTCGCAAAAACACAAATATAATGGTGTTCTCATTATAATTTTACGTAGCCGATATGAAACTGCAAATGTATTTTCCTTTTTGAAGTGATTCCAATCATATTTCAAGCCATTTAAAAACCATCATGGCAAATTGAAGCGTCTCAGCTGAAGGAAATAATCCATAATTTATCAGCTTTAAGATATCGGCCACATTTTCTTATTGGGCCGATAACGATAACATTAACAATGGACATATATCAGCTGATACCGATATGTTGGCCGATATATCGTGGTGTATGGTCTACTTTTTTGTCCTTTTAAGAGCTTGACAGTCACGTGTCAACATTTATGATTGTTGTGCATATGAAAACTGGAGGAACTACTCCTTTAAAAGCAACATTTGCACATGCCTGCACATACACACACAGGACGGGACAACCAGATGCGTTCCAGCATGTCTCCTGTTGCTTCTGCTGGAGACATTAACATGCAGGGCAGCACAAAACTCAGTGGGACTCACAAACAAACTTGAAAAGAAGGGCGAGAGAGAGACGTGAGGAGGGGGAGGATAGTGAAGAGAGAAAATGAACCAAGCTAGATGGAAATGTTGCAAGAAGAAAGAGGGATGGCAGGCGAGTGAGGGGGTGTACAGAGGGAGGGACTTGAGAAGAAAGAAAAAAGGGAAGGTGAAGGAGAAGAATGCATTAGACTGAGAGAAAATAACGCAGAAGGCTTGCTGGAGAGAAGACGTGAGCAGAAGCCATTCAGACGTACAGGTACGCCAGTCGTTTATGCTGAGGTTTTACTGGTTGCCATGATGATCAGGATTATAATAGGAACGTCAATAGTGGATTCATGTGTTTTTTACCATGGGAACCAGTTTCCACCCAGACAGTATTGTGACTTCGGTAAATGATGGAATAATTAGCATAATTCTTTATAAATGTATCTAAATTTCTAAATCTTTCTGTTATTTTGATTATTTTATGTCATTATTTCTTAATATAATTTAAAAAAATTGTAACAATTGTGTTATTTTAGTATCATTGAGATTATTGAGACTACTATAGTTTTTTTAATTTATTTTATTTTGACATTTTAGTAATTTTTTGTGGTGTCAAATCGATGAATCGCATCTAAAACGTTGTAAATATGTGTGTGTGATATACACACACCTATACAAACTTGTATGTTAGGTGAGATTAATCGATTTTAAATTTTATTACAAGTAACAAAAATGTTGTTTTTATAGTTTTAGTTTTAGTTAACTATAATGTATTTGTAATAACGGTAACACTTTACAATAAGGTTCATTACCTTAGCTAACATGAACTAAGAATGAACAATACTTGACAGCATTTATTAATCTTAGTTAATATTAATTTCAACATTTACTAATATGTTATTAAAATCAAAAGTTGTAGTTGTTAACATTAGTTAATGCACTGTGAACTAACTAGAACTGGATTTTTATTAACTAACATTAACAAAGATTAATAAATACTGTAACAAATGTATTGCTCATTGTAAGTTCATGTTAGTTAATACATTCAATTATGAACCTTATTGTAAAGTGTTACCGTAATAACTATAATGAAATCTAGATATTTATGCATAATTAGGTGATTGTCAGTGTGATGCGAAGATGAAATTAGTTTTTTATGCCGTTGTTATGCCGTTGTTATGCTAGGGTACATGTTGCTTAGTCATAAGAGTCATAATTTGGCTTGGGTCCCTCCCTTCAGCCGTAGTCTGTGGGTGTATTCGCCTGTTTTGTCAGTCACCGGGTAAAAATTGTTAGTCTGGTCACTTAGTAAAGCAGCAGCAATAAGTTTTAAATTGTGAATTGTTCTGGCAGCTGGCATCAGTCAGAGGGAGCAGGGTTTCTCTTACCCATAAGGCTTAGCAGGTTCCCACAGTAACTGGCTGGCGGTTTGTTCTGTTGCGATATGTGTGTGTGTGTCCTGTGTTAAAAATACACCCTGATGTTCAGTCTGACTTTAATTCTGTCCAGTCGGATCACTCAGGCTGTATGTTTACTGAGAGAGATTGTTGTAAAGTGGGTAGAAACAGTTAAAGTGAGTATACTATGAAATGACGTTCGCAACAGGGCAATTGTTGTTAACTAAAACTAAAACCATAAAATACCATAAAAACATTTTTGTTACTTGAAATAAAACAAATGTTAAATGAAACAAAATACAATATTAAAAATTTTATTTCAGCTGAGCAACATTTCTCATTTTCTTTTAGTTTAACTTGATGTATTAAAATAACTAAAAACTGAAATATAAATGAATAATGCAAACTATATAGACATTTAAATAATAATAATAAAATAATTACTAAAATTACTAATATAAAATACTGAAAAATAAACATAAATATAAATAACACTGACACACACACACACAACCCATTTGAATTTGTATTTGCTTAAAAATACCGACATCCTTCAAAAAGAAAACTGTAAAAAAAAGAAAATAAAAATTATGTAAAGTAACAAGACCTGTTTTCAGAGAAAATATCTAGGATTTACCCCATTGTCAAATATATTAACAAGCATAAATAAAAAATAGTGAGATAGTGAATAAGGAAAAACAAAAAGTTTACCAATATACATTGATATATATATATTAGGGCTGTCAAATGATTAATCGTGATTAATCACATCCAAAATAAACGTTTTTTTTTACATAATATATGTGGGTGCACTGTGTATAATTATTTTATATATATAAATACACACACATGCTTGTATATATTTAAGAAATATTTTCATGTATATACTGTATATAGATTTATATATAATTTATATTATATATGAATATAAATATTTTATATATAAATAATGTTTTTTTCTTAAATATACATGCATGTGTGTGTATTTATATATATACAAAATAATTATACACAGTGCACCCACATATATTATGTAAAAAAAACCTTTTATTTTGGATGTGATTAATCACGATTAATCATTTGACAGCCCTAATATATATATACTGTATACACACACACACACACACACACACACACATACATATCTATACACTCACCTAAAGGATTATTAGGAACACCATACTAATACTTCGTTTGACCCCCTTTCGCCTTCAGAACTGCCGTAATTCTACCTGGCATTGATTCAACAAGGTGCTGAAAGCATTCTTTAGAAATGTTGGCCCATATTGATAGGATAGCATCTTGCAGTTGATGGAGATTTGTGGGATGCACATCCAGGGCACGAAGCTCCCGTTCCACCACATCCCAAAGATGCTCTATTGGGTTGAGATCTGGTGACTGTGGAGGCCATTTTAGTACAGTGAACTCATTGTCATGTTCAAGAAACCAATTTGAAATGATTAGAGCTTTGTGACATGGTGCATTATCCTGCTGGAAGTAGCCATCAGAGGATGGGTACATGGTAGCCATAAAGGGATGGACATGGTCAGAAACAATGCTCAGGTAGGCCGTGGCATTTAAACGATGCCCAATTGGCACTAAGGGGCCTAAAGTGTGCCAATAAAAAAACACCCCACACCATTACACCACCACCACCAGCCTGCACAGTGGTAACAAGGCATGATGGATCCATGTTCTCATTCTGTTTACGCCAAATTCTGACTCTACCATCTGAATGTCTCAACAGAGATCGAGACTCATCAGACCAGGCAACATTTTTCCAGTCTTCAACTGTCCAATTTTGGTGAGCTCTTGCAAATTGTAGCCTCTTTTTCCTATTTGTAGTGGAGATGAGTGGTACCCGGTGGAGTCTTCTGCTGTTGTAGCCCATCCGCCTCAAGGTTGTGCGTGTTGTGGCTTCACAAATGCTTTGCTGCATACCTCGGTTGTAACGAGTGGTTATTTCAGTCAAAGTTGCTCTTCTATCAGCTTGAATCAGTCGGCCCATTCTCCTCTGACCTCTAGCATCAACAAGGCATTTTCGCCCACAGGATTGCTGCATACTGGATGTTTTTCCCTTTTCACACCATTCTTTGTAAACCCTAGAAATAGTTGTGTGTGAAAATCCCAGTAACTGAGCAGATTGTGAAATACTCAGACCGGCCCGTCCGGCACCAACAACCATGCCACGCTCAAAATTGCTTAAAACACCTTTCTTTCCCATTCTGACATTCAGTTTGGAGTTCAGGAGATTGTCTTGACCAGGACCACACCCCTAAATGCATTGAAGCAACTGCCATGTGATTGGTTGATTATAATTGCATTAATGAGAAATTGAACAGGTGTTCTTAATAATCCTTTAGGTGAGTGTATATCTATATATTATGTGTGTGTATATAATATATATAGAATGTGTGTGTGTGTGTATATAAATATGTGTGTGTGAGCATAAGAAAAAAAATGTTTAGAAAAAAACAACATACTTGAACGCCAGTGGTTTCATAAAAGAGGCGCAAGAACATGTGCTAAGATATTTCCTGTTCTTTACTGTGTTCATGTGTCCTGTTTAAGAATATGAACGAACAGAGCATCTAAAATGAACATTACAGTAATTGTACCTTTATTTGTTGCAGGTTCAAGATGTTGCTGGGGTCAAAGGTCACGTTCCTCCTCGTCCTCTGCGTGATGGAGTGTGTTCGCTCCACATCTGTCAGTCCGTCATTGCTTCAGCCTTCACACACACGCGTTCGCATTATCGAAGTCGAGGACGACTACGACGAGGACATCTCAAAGACGACGGTCGCGCCCCAGTCGCCCGGGGTCACCAGCTCTCGTGTGATGCCCCGACCTTGTGACTATGACCCCTGTGTGGTTCAAACGACCCCCTGCGAGAGGATTTCGGCGCACACGGGTTGCCTGTGTCCTGGGTTGACGGGTCCAGATGAAAAGCCCGAGACCCCGAAACTTCGCGAGATGAAGTTGGACGGCTCCGGGGAAGTGGTCGTCTATTGGTGCGCTCCTCGCTCCAACGTCACCTATTATGAAGTCACTATGAAAGGCAGGAAAAAGCAGTATATTTTTGGGGAATATCTAAGGAATGGAGTCATACCTGGGATGAAAGTTGGGGAGACGGTGTGTGTGGCGGCCGGGAATCAAGCAGGGCTCAGTGAAAAGTCCTGCACCCGATACGATCCACCGCAACCGGACCGAGTTTCTCTGAGCGCAGGGATCATCGCGGGATCCGTGGGATTCCTCCTGCTGATTTCAGTGCTCGCTGTCGTATTATGGCGACGAAGGACGTGTCGGAAGAGCGGGATGGGAGAAGCGGAAGGCCTCGGCAATCCTTCATACACCAATGATGGAGCGCTGTGATCAGCAGCAAACAAATGCAAACATTTCAAACGCATGGGGAGAATGAAACAAGCTGCAAAGAGACTGAGTTTTACAAGTGCACTACTGGTCAAAAGTTTGGAATAATTAAGATTGTTTTATGTTTTTGAAAGACATCTCTTCTGCTCACCAGGGCTGCATTCATTTGATCAAAATACAGTAATATTCTGAAATATTATTACAATCTAAAAGAACTGTTTTCTATGTGAATGTATTTTTAAAATGTAATTTATTCCTGTGTTTTTCAGCATCATTACTCCAGTCTTCAGTGTCACATGATCCTTCAGAAATCATTCTAATATTGGTGCTCATGCTCAATTATTAATAATGATTCTTGTTATTATCAATATTGGAAACAGTTTTTGCTGCTTAATATTTTTAAGGAAACATTTTCTGAATTTTTTGATGAATAGAAAGTTCAAAAGAACAGCATTGATTTGAAAAATAATCTTTTGTAACATTATAAATGTCTTTACTGTCACTTTTTATCAATTTAATGTATTTTTTAACCATGCCCTTAAACATTTAAACGATAGTGTATCATGGTTTACACAAAAATATGAAGCAGCACAACTGTTTTCAACATTGATAATAATTATAAATGCTTATTGAGCATCAAATCATCATATTAGAGTGATTTCTGAAGGATCATGTGACACTGAAGACTGGAGTAATGATGCTGAAAATTCAGCTTTGATCACAGGAATAAATTACACTTTTACTATATATTCACATAGAAAACAGCTATTTAAAATTGTAATAATATTTCACAATATTACAGTTTTTACTGTATTTTTTATCAAATAAATGCAGCCTTGGTGAGCAGAAGAGAGTTATTTTAACAACATTAAAAATTCTTTAAAAACTTTTGACTGGAAGTGTGTAGTTTTTGCTATTGTGCATCTGACTGAAAATAATCCTCGCTGTTCTCAACTAAACTGCTGTGATTGGCTCTGAATGATTGTTATTGTGAGATTGTGATTGGTTTGAATATTTAAAGTCAACATGGAATCTAAATCGTCCCTGTTTACTTCCATAATTCACATTTGTGGCCTTATTGTGATCGATTCATAAGTGCATTTATTCCAAAATAATTTGCATTAGTAAATAAATAGAAATAATTGCTTCACTTTCCCCTTTCAAATTGAATGCATTCACATTCGACTCATTAAACACACTTTTATAACATCATAAAAAATGTGTTCCTGAGGGACTAAATCAATTTGATTTTGATGAATCAAAAAAAAAATGTTTTCCTCATCATTAAATATCCCTTTTCACTCAATTACATCAAATTATGGAAGTAACCAGTTTTGATTACCATTTCACGGCGACTTTAACACTACTAATGGTTCTTAGGAAGCCTGGCGCTTCATTAAGCTAGACAGGGTTTTAAAGTATTTGTTGCACAGCTATTTTAAAAATTATTGATGATGTTTTTAACTATTGACAGTTTTTCAATAAAGCTATTTTAATTGCATTTGCTTGACTGAGCTTGTTGTTTATTCATGCATGCTTATGCCTATTTAGAAAATTGACTGTTACCCAAATTGAAGAAGTGGTTGTTGTAGTGTCATTGTTACTTATACTGATGTGTGAAGTGACTGTGGTAACATGGAAGGAAATTGCAGGAGTCCGATGCAGTGTCTTCATTGAGCAATGCTGAATCAAGTGCATGTAACATATTTAGAGCCGGTTATTTTCCATCCAGCTTTGTCAATCACTCCTTCCCTTTGCTACCTACTAATCTCAGTTTATTACTGTTATATAAAGAGAGTGCCAGGCAGATATTTGCCTCCAGCACAGACAGAGTGTTTCGTTCTTGGCAAAAGGGAGTGGTATTTATTACTCAAAAAGTAATATGATAAATAATGCATTAGGAAATACCTTACCTATGAACCCAAATAAAAATGTTTCAGATTCAGAGTGAAATGCTAATTTTTCACCTTGCCTTCTATCAGGATGTCTATATAAAGGAAAGAAACACCTGGTAAAATATGGTGGTTTTGGATCACTGATGTAAAGATCAATAGTGTAATGAACCCACATGTTTCAGCCTAAACTGGTTACATTGATCTGGATGTCTATGACAAATACGACTTGAATTAGACACATATGGGAATAAATTGTATGGTGCAGGTATTCATATTTTGTCACAAAACCCTAATTAAATTGTTTTAATTTTGACACAAAAACTTGAACTGAGCTGAATAATGACACTATTGTCTTCTGTAGAGCTGCTTTACAGCTAAATTTAAGTAGTTTCACAATCGATGAACTTGCAACATGTTATTGAAATATAACTTGAATCAACATTACATCGTTAATACGTCATTTTGACATTTGTCAATTTTCTGTTCTTGAAACGCTCTCCACGCTTACTATTTCAATTTCAAAATGTAATTTTAGAGCAAAAGGGAGGCTTGTGTGAATTACCTGAGTGTGTGCGTTTGGGTTTTGGTTCTTTTGCAGTTGTCGGCTCGGGCTGTAGGGACCTTTGAAGTAAAGTAGTCGGTTACTATTGGGGATCATTTGGCGGAGTGATATGGACATGTAATGCGGTCAAGACCTGCCTGGAACTACTTTAGCCCTTAGAACGTCCCTCAACCAATCAGAATCAGATGCAAGCATTCAATTATTAGTGAAGAGTATCACAGAAAACGTCTGTCCAGAGAGTAAAGACGGATAAATTCCCTCAAGATGAAACAAGCCTAAAGATGCGCTACCTGTATACTCGTTCTATACATGTAGTAAAATTCATCTTTGATTTTGAGGGGGGGAAAGGGAGGCTTTTTTTTCTTTCTCTCTTTTTCCCCCTTCATTTTTTTTATTTTATTTTATTTTATTTTATTTTATTTTATTTTATTTTATTTTATTTTAAAGAAAAAGAAAAATCTCCTTTATTTGAAGACTTTTATTTTGAAGGGCCGTCAGTGATGCCGCTGTTGATCTCTGGATTCAGCGGCCCGTGATCATCATCATCACCGTTACCGACAGACCCTGCGCTCAGCTGTGGCCAGGTCGATGGAGACCCACAACTGGTGATAGCGGCGTTTATTTTTTATATAATCGAGGATCCTTAACTGGTCGGATAGAGATGTCCACACAGGGACACACGAATCCAAACTCGTCCGTGAATAATTACAGCATGAATTCTACACAAAACGGAGGCGGAGCGGCAGCGGCGTCCTGTCAGAACGGTACGGGATTAAAGCGAAACCACTTGAGCTAACATGCTAAAGCTAACGCGAATAACACATTCAAAAGCTGAGATAACAGGCTGGCTAAGTGTTAGGCTTAGACGCTAATGGCTAAACTTACGTGCTAAAATCACATTCAAATCCACTTGAAAAGCTAAGATAAGTTACCAAGCTAAAGGCCTGAGATTGAGGCCAAGCTAAAGCACTTGTCATCTTCGTCTTTGAGGTGGAGACATCGACCTTTACAGATCACAAAATAATAATATTTTCTGTACCTGTCATTTAAGTCATATAGCAGCTGTCGGTATGTTTTAATGAATATTTATTTCGGTCGGTTTGTTGTCATCTCCTGTCCATAGCCCGTTAGCGGCTAGTTTAGTTCAGGTAGCTTGGTTGTTCTTTCTCTCGGTTTAAAAATCTTTAAGGTCCGGATTATTAATTAATCTCTTAAGATATTGTCATATGGTTGATCTGAATTACGAACTGACATATGTCATTGTCTTGATCAGATGTCTCATATTTGTGGTAAATTAAGCTCGCAGAATAAACGTGATAAATATTGATTAAATATTCCCAACAAACCTCAATAATATCTTAACTTGTTTTAACGGTAATTTGCCAACGTCGTTTTGTGGTTTTACGATTGTGAGCTGTATTTTTACATCATGCTAATATAATCTGACTGTGTTCTTAGTGTTAAACTGCATAAAATGAAGTAGCAATATGTTTTCTATTTTCTAATGTGCATCTTACCGTTTTTTAAGATGACGTGACAAGTGAATGTTGTCGAATTGTCATTTAGTAATAAAGTCAGAGAAAGATCTGTGCAAATTGTCTTTTGAACATGTTAATATCATACTAGTATCTATTAAAGTACCATGGATTATAATGTAGTGTAGTTTTAGCCTATACATTGATTAATTTGAATATTTTCCGTTTTCATTTTACTTTTTGTTAAGATTTTAGTACTTGGAGTTTTTTGTTGTTGTGATTTTTATATTGGTTTACATAAAGACCTATTTTTTAATACGACTATATACAATTTATTTCAGTTTTTGTTTTAGTTATTGTAGTGCATTATATCAAACTAAATATAGTGTTTAATATAATCCCAATAATGTATAATAATCACAGACAGACTCGATGATCAGTTCATACTGTTGTCAAACTCCTTGAGCATACAAAAATCTACTGAATTATTACAATTAATGGCTAAATTATTTTTTGGAAATGTAAATGGATATTTCCTACTGAGTCTGACACACTACAGCAAAAGATATAAATAAATGGCTTAACTTTTTTTTTTTGGGGGGGGGGGGGGGGGGGGGGGTGAAAATACTAACATGCATGGCATGCATAAGACTTTTGCACAGTATTGTATTGTTAGACATGTATTTTTATTATATTTCAGTTAACAATAATTTTTTATGGTTTTAGTAACCTTGTCACAATGTAAATACAGTGTATAAATATGATAAATAAATGATATAAGAATATGGTAGTCATTCAGTAATCTGGTATTACCATCACTCTACTTATTTGTAAGGCAAATATAGAATAATGCGAGTTTCAACTGCTGTTGGATTTCATTGGTCAATTTGTATGATTCGTCTAATGACAAACGTGCATTTGTCACATTTGCACATCATTTGCATGGCAATCTCGCAAATCAAATTGATGTTGTTGTTTTTGACAGGTCCGGGACAGCCGTTCCCTGCCATGTATCCCGCATCCAGCTATAGTTCTGCCCCGCCCACTGGTTACCCCACCATGGCGGGACACAGCGCTCCTCCGACTGGAAAAATCCCAGTTTCAGGCACAGACTATAGTGGGAACTACTACCAGA